GTGTTTGCATTAGCGCCCTGCTGGCTGGGTGTTGCTGAGGGGAGCTGGAAGGGTGGTACCGCCTGGTTAAAATGTCAGCAGAGAGAAAATAAACTCTCATTACTGTGTTTTAGAGATGTTTTTCATGTGTCTAGGGAGGTGGGAGAAGATTGAAAGAGAAGGAAGGGTTCGTAGTATGTCAGCAGTCGGATCGCTGCAGGCTCCTGGAGTTGGGAGCTGTTGCCTTGAGTGTAAGAGACAGGAATAAATGTTTATATCTGTTCTGTTTCTCATTATTTCTGTTGCTGAATGTTTCCATCTCTGTCAGCATAGGCTTGTCAGTTTGTTCAGAGCCTTTGGATTTGATTCTCTTCCGCTGCTGTGGCTTGTGGATCAAAATCGTGCAAGGGAAACCTGGTACAAATAAATCCTGTTTCCAGCAAAGTAAAACTGATATTTTGATTTTTCTCTTGTAAAATACTTTACCTTTCATCTATGCAGCTTGGGTTTTGGAGAAGTCCTAATACTCTACTGCTCTTCCTGAAGCTGTATTTAATTCTTTCTGGGATAAGTAGTTTTGATCTGGTGCTTCAGCAAGGTACCATAGCGCTTGTAACCTCAGATCGTAATCACAGTCACAGAATAGCAGCTTCAGTTTTCCCTGTGCGTATGTGTATTTATTGTACATACATGCCAGGAGAAGGCAGAAAAGGAAAAACTTGTGTTCTTGCTTATGCGATTACCTTTTGTTTAGTAGGTCTCAATTATTGTATAGAATTTGTTCACCTGAAGCTTATTGCAGTATCATGGCTTTCTTGTAGTTTTTTAAATATCCTTTTATATTAAAGTCCTTTCTTTGGTAAATACCCCATGCTTTTGAGATGGCCAGGATAGTAAGTTTGCAGAACAATCAGCTTTGCTCTTGGAAAACAAATAATTTGGATTGCATTTCACAGAAGAAAAAAGCTTGTCTGTTGGTAGTTAAGTAATTTAATAAATTCCAGCTTGCAGGTGGCAGCTTGCATAATGGGGAAATGTATTCACATTATTTTGTTTGGTCTAACTTCTAGACAGTCAGAAGGGATAATGATAATGTGTTTTCTTCTACTGTTTTCCTTTGCTTGCCTTTTATAAAGATACTGGTGTACACAGCGCTCACTTAGACATTTTGGTGGTTCACAGTGGTGATTTCAGCTGCGTTCTTCCCATATGTGCCATTAGCTTAAAGAAATTTAGTAAAAAAAAAAAAAAATAGTTGCTTTTATTTATAAAAAGATTCAGACTTTGGAAATTTGCTTGCATCACCCCCTCTTCCTCCTCTCCCCGCCTTCACCCCCTGCTCTTTCTCCATTTTGGGTTGATAAATCTGTAAGTCTTCATTCTTACCTGGCTAGACCAGGGTCTTTGATGCAGTTAGGGCAGCAACAGTAAAGAAATGGTATAAAAGCTTGCATATAAATACAAAAAACTAATTTATTTTGCTTACTAGCACTCCCTGTCTGTCTCATTATGCAAGATCCTGTGTCTTTGACAGCATCAGTGTAGATTTTCTCTGGAATTATGTCAATCCATAAAATCTTATTTTCTTGGAAAACTTGGGAGAGGGAGAAAACCCAGACATCCCCCAACCAAAACAAAAATAGGGCTTTTATTAAATTCTAATTAGAAGCATAAAGAAACTCTATTTAAAATGTTTTGTCTACTGTGTACAACATAGTCAATGTCTTTCATTATTTGAAGTGGTTATTAGCCATGGATTCACCAAATGTAAGTTAAAGTATCATAACTTTTTTGTAGCTCATTTAAACTGACCCACAGTCCAGTGAGGTGATTGGAAGGACTCTGGGGTCGGTCAGCCTTGCATCAGGCCATAAAAGAGGAAGATAACAGGAGTGTTGCCTTTCTGCCTCAAATGGTTTTGTCTGTGAAAGCAAAATAATCTACTCATCAGTTTTTAACTTCCTTTGCACTTTAAGGATGCATAATTGTAAACTTTTGGAATTTGTTTACACTTGAAAGAGTAGTATTGAAGAAAGGATTACTTCTACATTTATAATGTGGTATTATATCATTAGATATATTTATACAATGTATTGTATTTCAATACTACAGTATTTTCCTAGTAGTTTGTTGGCACATATTCCTGCAGTTCAGCTGCTGAACAATGAAAATAATGATTGAGTTTTACTTTCTAACATTATAAGCAAGTCTGTTTACTCACCAAAATTTTAATGGAAATAATGGAACACTTGAGAAAAATGAATAGGAATTGAAGCTGATTATATTACAGATTGAATTTCTGAGTATTGAATAGATCCAGAAATGTTGTTTAGCTTTTTCCAGTGGATTTTAGTCCTGCTTTCAAAAGAAATAAAGATAAGATTGATTAAAATAAAGATCATTAAAGTCTTTCTATAATTTCTTTCATTTTACTACTTATCCTTGGTTCTGGAGCATTTGGCACAAGGAGGGGAGGAGTGGCAGTTGGCACATTCAGCTTCTATCTGCTTGTGCCAAAGGATGTGAATAGCTGCGTGTGTTAACAAACTTCAGAGTACCCAATGCTTTAAATAATGAAGTGACAAACAAAAAATTAAGGGTTGCATTTAAGACAGTGCCTTGCTGGCTTTTTCTGCTTTAGATAGCTTTGTGGGAAACCATACAGTTAATTGCTGTAGCCTTTTTGGTTACTGTGGTGCCTGCAGAGTTTGAACTTTTGCTTATCAGTTTCTCCTTGCAGTCTCTTCTCTCTGTGCTCTATGGTAAGTCCTGAGGTTCACCTGAGGTGTGCTTGCATTGCATCCAAAAGCTCAAGGGGACTAGAGGAAATTCTGGATTTAGCAAAGGTACTTCTAGCTCCAGAGATTGAAATGTATCTCACGGAGTTCTATACTGAAAGAAATCTGTTGCAGCTATATGAATTAATAATGATGTTTGGACATGAAAAGTTACTGTTTTATTATAGTAGCATCTGATAGCTCCCAGGCAAAACTCATCCTTCTTTATGCATATGTACTTTACACACAACAAAAATATCTCCTTGTCACAGAGTTTACAGTTTCTGCCTGTGTGTACGGCTGATCTGGTCGTGAGCTGCGTGTGTAGTTAGAATTTTTCTGTCGGTGGTCCACTCCTGGGCACTCGTTTTTCAGAAACCTCTCGGGAGTGAATCCTGGGTGGATGAATTAATCTTGGAGATGTCTGTTTGTGCCCAGGCACTGTATTTCAGGCCTGCCCTAGTGCCCCTTTGTTGGTAAGTCATATGCCAGCTAGATTTACCCCATTCTTCTCATGCCACCCTTTTCCCAGTAAATCCATAGAGGAGGATATTTATTTCCGGGCTGAGAGGTCAGATTGCTCAGTGAGAACAGTCTTGGCTATACGTTAGCAAGACTTGAATTTACCATCCTAGTTTACTTCTGAAGGCTGCTTTACTCATATCAAATTATGCACGCATGACAGATTTGTTGGTAAGGTAGTAGAGGGGCCATGGCATGTTTGTTGCTAAAATAAATTGATACAGTCTGTGTGAGTGAAAAGCTTGGTTACTGTTGGGTGAAGACTCTTTGAGGCTTTTTTTGTTGTATCTTCAGGGGTCTGCTAGTCTGTTTAGTGAATGGTTCTTCACTAGTTCAAAAATTGTTCGAGCAGTTCTTGTATTATCATTAAAATGTCTTAGCTGGAAAAAGTCTTCCTGGAATATTTAATGTAAAAGATACCAAGTCATTTTAAGATGTTTATTTGTTGGAAAAGAAGGGGAAGCTGCATGTCTGAAATCACTGGGAATAAGAATAGTGGTATAGAGAGACTTCAGTGTTCATCACAGACATTTGTTTGTTTAATAAATGATGTATGTGAGTGTTGAAGTTGAACTGTATGTCAGGGCAGCTGCAACAGAAATAATTTTTTGCCAGACATGTTTGGTTTACCACTGTCCTCAACAATAGAGAAAGATTCAAGGTTCACCTCCTACAAGCTCAAAATGGTCCATGCCCACATGCAGGAAGGCAAGCGAAGATGGCAGGAGGCCCACATGCGTGAACAAGGAACTTCTGACAAAACTCAGACATAAAAAGGAAGCATCCAAGAGATGGACAAAGGGTTAGGTCACCTCAAGAGTAATATGGAGATGCTGTCTGAGAGTGCAGGTATGCCATTAGGAAAGCCAGAGCCCACCTGGACTTGCAATCTAGTGAGGGATTCAACTTGTGAAAGGCAAGAAAAAGCACTTCAACAGGTGTCTCAGCAGCAGAAGGGAGACTAGGGAAAATGTGGGCCTGCTTCTGAATGAGGGAGGGACTTAGTTAAAAGAAGGATATAGAAGAGGATGAGGGACTCAAACTTTCTGTGCCTTGATCTGCACTGGTGAGACCCATCTTCAGCGATCCCAGGCTCCTGAAACTCATGGGAAAGTCTGGAGCAAGGAAGAGATACTTTCACTGGAGGAGACCAGTTTAGGAAACATAAAACAAACTGGACATACAGCAGTCCACAGGACCTGACAGCAGGCAGCCACAAGTGCTGATGCAGCTTGACAATGTTGATGAGACACCACTCTTGATAATCTTTGAAAGGTCACGGTGACTGGGGCAGATTCCTGAAGACTATAAGAGAGCAAATGTCACCCCTGTCTTCAAGGAGGGCAAGGAAGAGAATCTGGGGAAACTGTAGGTTGGCTAGTGTTACCTTAATCCCTGGGAAGGTGATGGAGCAAATAATCCTGGAAACCATTTCCAAGCAAGAAAGGACAAGACAAATGTGTGGGACAAGAAAGTGATTGGAAGAAGTCAGCATGTTTTTATGAAGGGGCAACCCAAAAGCCTTCTGTGATGAGATTACTTCCTTCATGACTGTGTGGAAAGCAGTGGATGTTGTTTATCTCAGCTTTAGCAGGGGTTCAGTACTGTCTCCTGTAGTGTCATACACAAACAGATAAAGTATGGGCAGTGAGGTGGATAGAAAACTGACCTACTGGGCTCATGGGCTCTGGTCAGTGGCATGGTGCACTCCAGGGCTTGATAATGGTTCCAGTAGTGTTTAGCCTCTTCATTAATGACCTGGACAATGGGACAAAGCTCACCCTCATCAAATTTGCAGAGAATACAAAATGGGCAGGAGGGATTGATACGCCCACTGGCCATGCTGCCATTCAGGGGGACCTCATTGGGCTGGAGAAATGGGCAAACGGGAAACTTGTAAAAGAAAGTTCAACAAAGGGAAATGCCAAGTTCTGCCCCTGGTGAGGAGTCATCCTGTGCACACCGGGGGCACACTGTCTGGAAAGCAGCTTTGCAGAGATGGGCCTGACGGTCCTGGTGGGCAACAAACTGACCATGGACCATGGCAAAGATGGCCAGCAGCCTCCTAGGTTGCATTAGGAAGAGTGTTTCCGGCACATCAAGGAAGGTGATCCTTCCTCTCTGCTCAGTACTAGTGAGACACACCTGGGATGCTGTGTCCCAGTGTGGGGTCCCCAGTCCAAAAGAGACATGGACATACTGGAATGAGCCTGGCAAAGGACAATGAAGGTTATTAATAGATTTAAGATCTGACATGCATGGAGAGGCTGAAGGAATTGGGGCAGTTCGGCCTGGAGAACAGAAAGTTCAGGGAGGATCTTACCAATATGTGTAGATACCTGATGGGTGGCAGTACAGAAGACAAAGGCAGACTCTGTGTTGCCTAATAGGACGTGAGGTAGTTGGCACAAACGGAAAGGAAATTCCATTTAAACATAAGAAAAACACACACACACACACACACACACATATATATATCTATCTCATATCTATCTATCTATCTATCTCATATATATATATATATATATTTTGCTCTAAAAGTGATTGGACACTGGTAGGGGTTACTCAGGGAGTTTGTGGAGTCTCTGTCCTAGGAAATACTAAAAACCTGACTAGACAAGGTCTTGAGCATCCTGCTCTACTGGGGATTGGACTGGATGATCTTCAGGGGTCCTTTCCAACCTCAACAATGCTGTGGTTCTGTAATATGAAGATATAGTAGGTTGTGAAAATAATTCTCCAAAGAGCTTTGTCTGTACTCTCAGAGATACAGTATGAAATAGTTTTGGTTTTTTTCCAGGTTATTTGAGTATTGTTTGATTTGTTTCCAGGATCACGTGTATTAATATTTTATAAATTTTAGAAGCAGTGTGACATGGGTTACTGAATGTTATGCTGAGAGAGGAAGCATCTCTTGTCAGTCACAGTTGCTTTGGGTCTCATGTGTGCCATTACTTAGCTGCATATTAAAAACCGAAAGTGATGAAAATTCTGCTTGCATTCAGTTTTGCAAGTAAGTCAGATTTTTGAGGTAATAGTTCTTCAAGTTAATACTATGCAATTTATAAATTTCCTGCAATAAGGGTGTTTTTTGTTAGATCGTGTCAAGTAGAAGATGTGGATCTGGTTTGTGTGTAGGGGAAGATGTTCCTTATCAGGAGCTGTAAGTGCTCTTATGTTGGAAGAGAAGAAGGAAAACAATCAGAACATGCTGTCAGCAAGGGATAAAATAGGCAGATTGAGGTATTCTCTGTGCACTTACTCGAGGACAACGCTGGTGGGGACGTTCCTATTTGTACTGTTTTCTTCTTCCTGGCCAAATACCTTATTAAAATGTGCCTATGGTCAACATGAGTCGACTGTGTTAGAATGTTTTTGGGGTGTGATTTGAGCTTCAGATTAGTCAGGACCTGAGATGTCATTGTGAAACTCAACTCCTAGACACTTTATGAATTTTTTTTTTTTCAGTTGAAAGAGCATAGATATAGGTGGACCTGCAGAGTCTTTGGACAATCTTGTCTTCTTGGTTTCCTGCATTCCAGGTTTCCAGTGTGTCAGAGGAATCGACAGTTGCTAGCAATTCACTTTGAAGTCAATTTCAAGCAATAAATAATTTAAACTTGCAGTGAGACACTGTAGTTGAATCTGTTGATTTTTTTTTTCCACCCCAGTTTTTAAGAAAACCATCTATTTGACCATGATGAGTAATATCTTGAGTTCCTTCCAAATTACAGCAATTTGCTTTCATTTGCATCTCTTTAGTAACTTTAAGAAAAAGACTCCTTACTAAGAATCTTAGCAAAGCTTTCTTACGTTAAATGGATCTACTTTTACAAATGAGCAAGCTGAGACAAATTGATTAGACAAGTATATCAACAAGCAAAAAAAAAAACCACCCAACATAACTCTTTTTTATGATTATTTTCCTAATACAAACCAGAAGTGTATGCATTGTGTCAGTATAAAAGGTTTAAGATAACGCTAGGTCTGTGCAAATTAGCTCTTTGGGGTCTCTGTTCTTTTTGTTAACATTTATTCGGGTCTCTTGTACATTAACAAGCTTGACTGTTGTTCAAAGATGGTATTCAAGGCTTGTGACGGCCATCTTCAAGTTTGATACAAATTTCCATCAGCTGCTGTCAGTTTCTGTGGTTCCAAATGAAACTTTGGTAATCCAAAGTTTAGGTTAAAGATAGAATGGAATGCAGATCTCCCATGTGATAGCACATTATGCTGTTGGCAAGTGAACTACTGGACTGAACAGATTTGATTTTTTTTTACATGGGATTTATTTGCCTTGAAGCCAGTATAAATTGGCTTCACATCAAAGAGTGATCTTTTCAGCGAAGTCCAGGAATAGAATTGTCAGGCAGCAAATATATAAATTCTGTGAGAACGTACTGTCTTACATTCAGGAAGATTATTATCAATATAGTATCATTTAATGTGAAAATCTTCTAAATGTTTTTTTTTTCTTTTGCTGCAGTACTTTGTCAAGTGTGAAAATGAGCTGCTATAATATGAAAAGAAGTCTGCTTTTTCTTTCAGCTTTTGCTATAAGTGTAGTTCCTGAAGGTGCAGAAGATGAGACGGAACTACCAGTGCTGCAGGTAATAAATTTTAACTACCAGAGCAGGAACATTTTACAGACATTATAAAATCACCTAGAAGAGACCAGAGCAGAAAGCCTACAATTATTTTGATCATTGACTTCAGTGGTACTAAATGTCATATGATGTCTTTCTGTTCTGTGTGGTATGTAAGAAGCCTTTAATTGAACACAAGTTGCAATCAGCACTACTCTTCTATTATTACTAGGATCTTAATTTATCCTATGGATTCTTAGAATTACTAGAATAAACTTATACTTAGTACTTTTATTTCCTGTTTTACACTGGATTTTCTGACGTGTTGACATTTGTATTAAGAGAATTAAGTTTTTTGGGTTTTGTTGTGGAACAAGATGATAATTTAGAAAACAAGTTTTTGTTTTTCTGGGGTCAGCTGAAAAGTGCATTAGAAACTTACAGTACAAAAAACTTGGCCATTTTGCATAACTTCTACAAATTGATAGTTATGGCTGTTGAGAATAGTTTTGAGTGTATAACCTTTCTTAGTTCAGAGACAGGTTTTCCTTTCTTCTTTGTTTTGTTAAATATATAACACTTTGAGAAGGAAATGGCTGCCTCTCTGCTAAATTAGCATTATTACATATTGCTGCCCAAGTCGTTGCTTAGGTGAAGCTTGTGTATGGAATTTCCAATTAACAGATCAGAAGAACTAATGGTCAGAGCTAGCCCTACCATTGAACAGCGTAATGGGTGTTAGGTGTGTATGCATGTATGTCCTTTAACAGACTTCTGTCTACCATTTTTTAGTATGTATGTATTTGGAACAGATATTTGTGCATGAATAAAAGAGATTTAAGGGAGGAAAATAAAATGAAAGTACTGGAATGAATCAAGAGTTAGAATCTATAACTGCCATTTAGATATGGAGAAATGGTCATTTAGAATCTAGTGATCTCACATCAAGTGGAATAGAAGTATCATCAGAGGTATGTGTTTCTAAATAATTTTTGGTTTTGATGATGATTGCTGTATTTACAGTAGTTTTAATAAATGAAGAAGATCCCTATTGCAGACTGCTGATCTGCTGCAGTGTATCTAGGAGACTAGTAATACCATTTTGTTTTCATTACTTATAAGTTGTTGTTTGTCAAATTCAATTAGTCTCAATCCAACTGTTTAATGTTCTCATTCTTATATAGGATATAATTTCTGAAGACTTTCCTACTATTTTAGAATTTCAAACCCTTCCCTTAGATGAAGTCAGAGGTGCCTCCAAGAACCAAGGCCAAAATCTGGGGGTTTTTTGGTTTGTTTGTTTGGTTTGTTTTTTTTACATTAACAGGAATGTAACGGGCAAAAATTGTTTTGTTTTGTGTTTAAATAAAGGTAATTGTAAACTATGGCTTGTCTTGTGGTACACATTTGTACCACAAAACACATACTTTTTTGTTTGCATAGAAAATTAATCTTCCCATGTTGTTTATGATATGGGTTAACTTAGAATGTAGTGTTTATTACACTGTAAGATGGCATTACTGTGTATAGTCATCAAAATAATGTAGTCTTGTAAGAATTTTTTTTAAACTTTATTGACTTAGTCAACAAAAAAAAGGGTCATAAGCATGAATGCAGTGCAGTCATTCTTGAGAAGGTTTTACAGGTGGCTCCCAAGGAAGTTGGAGCTTATGAACTTCAGTGCAAAAGTTAGACCTGGACAGAGGAAGAGATCATCTGATGCAAGTAGGACTAAAAGGATTAGATGGATATGAGATTAATAAAACCAAACAAAAACCCAAAAAACCCCCAATCAATTAACAAACAAAATGTGGAGGGGGCAAGGAATGAGTTTGTGAATAGGAATTAAGTTACGAGGGTAGGAAAACTACAAGCTTATTGCTGAGGAGTGCCTTGTATGGCATTTCTATCTGAAGGTCTCAAAACACTTGAACCAGGAGAAATCCTACAACATCCTTATGCAGTTAGTAAAGGTGATCTTGATTTGACATGTGAAGAAACCAAAGAACTAAGGTGCTGTGACCAGGGAAAAATTGTGCAATAAATGAAGGCTCTGTTTTCCTTCCTACAGTTTTTGTAGGAAGCACAGAGCTATTTACCCAGTCCTGTGCCTCTGCCAGTCAGCAGTTTTTGAACAACACTTTTCCTTCCACCCTCTGTTATTCAGAAGCAATTGGATATGCTCCTAAAATATTTTTATGTGTATGTCTTGGTTTCTTGGTTAATGATGCAGATGCAGTGTCACTGTTGTCTGTTCCTCAGCACTGTTAAAATTCCATCACAAATGCATGTAATACCTGAGTCTATCCCAGTAAAGTCATGTATGTACAACCTTTTTGTATGTATTTGTCTTAATATAAATTGCTTTTGAGTCTTCTTTAAGAATGGTGTTTCAATAGATACTTGATAGTGAATCAAAAGAGTTAAGAGTGCATTGGGATTTTTTTTACACACTGAATACGTATGTTTGTATTGTAGTGTTCTGTATCCAAACTTTGTGCTCAGGACATCAGTATTAAAAAAAAAAAATTAAAAAAATTGTTAGCATTGACTCAAAGAGTTCTAGTATATACTGAGTTGTGGAAAAGCATTCTCCTTTTTTTTTTTTTTTTCTTTCTTTTTATTCTTTTACTGTATTGTTTAAGTAACTATGCAGACATGTAGACTATCTATTTTGGTTCTCCATGATGAAAAACTTTCTACTTTTTTTATTAGTTCTTGAGTTAAAACCTCTATGTATGCATTTACAGTCTGATGAATGCTTTGACTCCCTGTGTGTCTCTATACAAATATTTCAGTTCTTGCCTATATCCTTATTTTACTTTATCTCCTTTCTTCTAGAAATCTAAAAAAAGTGGAACAATTAGTAAGATGAACAAAGGTAAGTACTGTATAGTCTACATTTGTTTTCATTTGTGGCTGCCTTTTTAGTATAAATAAAATATGGTTATGCTTTGAAAAGTGACGGTGTGAACAGTGCCTAAATGCTCAACAGCATTGTTGGTTAATTGCTGATTCCCAAATACTTTGCATTTTTTTTAATTTGCTGATGTAGTCAGCCCTCATCAGGGCCTTTCTATAGAAGCTTTATTACTCTGTTTCCCTGTTCACCTCTCCTTATTTGATGTCAAAGAACGTCCATTTCCTCTTTGTGTCCTTTCATCTTTTTCTGTGGAATCAGCCAGATGCTCCTTATCTGGTTTTTACACTGCAATGCTGATCTTCCAAATAGCAGTATTTCCCCTTTGCCATCTTTTGAAGGGATTTAGTGATAATTCCTAAGGCGGTGTATTTTGCATAGGGTCACTGTATACTTGCTGAACCAGACATTAGTGTTGATGGCTTGTTGCAAGTTTTTTTAAGACTCCATTCTGTTTAGCAAGAAGCCATGGCTGTGATAAGACTTGGGAAGTTTCAGCATTCCTGTTCCTCATTTTTTTTTTATATATATATTTTTTTTTTTCTGTGAACTTGCAGTATCTTTCCAATCAGTGAGCCGTTGAGATTGCTGTATATGTTTTCCAGATATGGAAATGTCTTAGGGAAATAAGAGAGAAAAGGAGGAAAGAGAAATAAAGTATCAGTAGCTCTCTTGGATATTAATCTTCCAAAAGATTCCATTCTTTGTCTTACTTGGTTTATCATTTCTCGACTTGAGAGCCAACACAGGTGTTTAAAATTGTACGTACTTTCTGTTGACATTTTAGTAAAGTGAATATTTCTTTTTATGAACTGTTTTTAAGTGTCTTTACCAGAGGAAACTGTTTCGATTGGATTAAAGCAATAACTCCAAAGTAGGTGTTAGATTACTCCTAGAAAGTATTCTATTGTGTGATTATCGCAGCTGTTGTTAAATGTACCATAAGTGAAACTGAGAGTAATACAGATGCTTGCGTATCTGTAAATGTACTGATACTAAAACAGTCATTATATGAATTAATATAGGTTTTGCTTTTTATTTCTGGAGATGTTTTCAGTGTTCTGTATGTAGATTTAGTCCTTTGACTCTCACTAGCATCTCTGAAGTGTAATTTTAATTTTTGCACAGGAAAACTAGCAAATTTCTTGCTAGGTAGCAAGTAGCTGCTATTCAGACATTTTTATTGTGTGTGGTTTTTAGAGCAGTTTGTTGGGTGGGTCGGAGCATGAAGGAATGGTGCGTGGGAAAAATTGTGAAACCAGAACTGATACCTCTGTTCGTGCTTACGCCGTCTCCACAACTGTCTCACCAGAAACCTCATGCAGTTTGACATTTTCAGGTTTTGTCTTGGCGAATAAGGTAATGAATTTAGGGAAAATACTACTGGGGCAAAGTAGAAAAACATTTAACTAAGCTGTCATAGGTCTAAATTAACAAGAAGGTGTTCAGAAGAATAAAGGAATGTAATTGGTGGTCAGTTCTTGGACATGACAATCTTACTGTAATCTTAGCAAATGTATGTAAGGATAATGCTCTTTTGGTTGCCGCTGTTTTTCTTGTGATCCTTCTTCATGTACTCAGTTTTACTCTTTTTCTTTGAGACTATTACTCTCCTTCTTTGGGCATTTATTCTCCATCTTTGTTTCAGTGTTGTTCACTCATTCTACTCTATTTGCCAAGTTAGTATCTTTAACCTGGAGGTCAAGATGTGAAACTGGGATCTCTGACGTTGACTTGATCTGCAATGGAAGACTATACATTTTTAAAATAAATATTGCATGATGAATTTATACTGCAGTGAACCTGCAGATTAAAAGTGTTGAAATACTCTGCTACCTGACGAGAAGCTTCACATGCTTCCTCTAAGGTGCTCTGTCCTTGGGATGTTTGTCTTCACACAGACTTTGATTCTAGTAAAATCTGTCAGCTTTCAGTCAGCCGTGACTCTGCATTTTCTCTACTGAATTTTTATCCTGGACTGTCTTCACTTTGACATCTCTGATATCTCATTGAAAGTCTGGTTTCAATTGAATATCAGTAGGTCTTCTAAGAAAGTTCTCCTAAAGGTTTTATATCTTTATTTTCTCTGTCAGCTTTCATAAAGTTGCTAATGATGGTGGCCTTGAAGTTCTGTTTTTCTGAAGTTTGACTCCTATGTCTTTTTTGTTACCTATATAATTTTTTTTGGTGTGCACTTTGTTCGTTCTCCGCATTTGTTGACATTCTGTACAGATCCCATGGGACTTCATTGTTGATTTCTTTCCTTTTGGTACTGTCTTGTCTTGGATTGATGTGATTTGTAAACATTAACTCAGCATCCTTTTCTGTGCTGTCTCCTCCCTGAATTAACTAGAATCTGTTACCTCTTGTGCCTGATCTGACTGTCACCTTGAGTGACAGAATTTAAATGCAGTCCTCAATCCCTGCTCACCCTTCTGACAAGTCACCTACTTATCTGCTTGAACTCTGAATGTCATTACTATCTTTTTTGTTCTTTAGGCAGTAATTGGTCAGTCACTTGTACCACTTTAGTTATCATGCCTTGAATTTCCCTGTCTGGACACTTGCTGTGGTAGTATCTGTAAAGTTCAGCCTTTTGTGGCAAACCAAACAGAAACTGCAGTGTAGTGTTTCATCATCTTATATGTTATGGTCTTGAGTGGGTTTATACAGCATAGGTCGAACTTGTTAAGAATTTTGGGAAGGGCATCTGTTCTCTCCTCTTCCTTTCATCCTCTGCAGTGTTCTGCTTCTGAACGTGATCACATCTGCCTGGTTTTCTTAGCTTTCAAAGTGTTGAGAGATTATTCTGTCTCCTATCATCAAGAAAATTTGGCTATCTTCAGGTTCTCCGTGGTATCAGCCTTCATCACCTACTTGTATTTTTTAATAAACCATTTTTTTTTCTGTCCATTCACAAAGCTACTTCATTTTTTTCATTTAAATTTCTCAGTCTCCTCTCCTGCTGAAAGTTCTTAACTATGGTGCCTTTAAACACTGTGGAGACACATCTGAAGCGTTGATGCTGTCCTGTCAGATAAAAGTACTGCCTCATCATTCTCGTGTGCATCTCTCTCCATCTCATGGTTGTTTCTGGGTAGGGTTTTAAGCTCTTTATTGAGGAAGCATCTTTTCCACTTCATGTTCATCCACTGCCTAGTGAGGGGAGATGCTGGTCTATGATTAACACGTTTTAACTCTGGTAATGAGGAAGGCTGGTGTATTGGAGAAAAAGGAACTTTGTGAATGTGGCTTTTGTTAACTGTGGGCATAAGTTTCTTTGTTGCTGCACATCTCCTAGTCATGTCATACTTTTTATGTATTAATCCTAAAAGGACTGATTTGGATTTTTTTTTTCTGTTAAATTATATCTTTTTATTGTTTTAGGAAATGTTTGTGTAACTAAAGAAATAGATTCCCCCACACACCAGGGGAATGAGTAGCTTTGGAGCATAACTGAATATAACTTATTTTGTCTTTAAATCTTATTTTCTGGTCCACAGAATTAAAAGAAATTGTATTTATCATCCAGAGTCAAAGTAATTCTTTTCATTCCAAGAAAGCAGAAGATCTAAAAAGAGATATTTTAAAACAGGCTGCAGATCTTGGAAAGGTATGTTTAGATAATATAGCTTGCACCTTGTTATGTATGTTTTTACTGCATTTTACTAAAAATGTCATTTTCTATTGTGCCTTTTTTTGATCCATTTTATTAATTGTCTTCTGTGTGCTTATGAAATAATTATTTCAGTTGATGTTTACTGGTTGTATGCCATGATGTATCACCAAATAATTTTAATTTGAACTATCTACCTTTTTGAATAATAACTGGTTTTGTTTGGATGGCATTTGATAATGAGAAACACTTGTAGTGTGCCTATAAGAAAAAGTCAGGTGCTTTCTTTATGAAGTGAAAAACATAATAATTTAAGCAACACTAATAATAATTTTTAGGTGAGTACTTTATTTTGTTAGAGCCAATGAAGATGCTGTAATGTAGATTTTGTCAGAATGTAATTGCACAACTGTAGCATTGTGGCAGTAAAGCAGTGGACTTTAAAATCCCAACACAAGATTCCCTATTTCCTACGGCAGGACTCTTGCACACCTCTCTTGCCCATGTCAGCAGTAGCTCCCTCCCTGCTGTGGTACCTTCTCTGGCTACTCCTTGTTCCTCTGCTGCTCCGCTGCAGACGGAGCACTCGGCCTCTCACCTGCTGGTGAGCTGTGCTGGCCTGGGAGCTGCGTGTTGTACAAGGCTGGTTTTGACTTAACACTCTAATAAGCAATTTTACTTGTAAAGCTTTATTTAGCCTAGAGAGAAGAGGTTTTTAAGTGACTTACATTGAAAGTTAAGTGTACATAAACAATGCTTTATTTTCTTTGTCTCTAATAAAAATAAGAAAAAATAAGAGGGGCATAGATTCCCAGATACGAAATAGCTTGCTGTGGGGTTATCTGACCTATTTTTCAGTTCCAGGTTCTTTGTTGTAAAGGAAAAAGAAGTCTGATTTAAGTTGTCTTACATGTCTTGGCCTTGGAGCTTCAGGTTCCTGCATATTTTAGGCTTCATTTATTCAACCTTATCAAACCTGTTGTAATTAAATCCATTCTAAATGCAATTTTTAATCCCTTAATGAAATCAGTCATGTGAACAGCCTTTATTCTGCAGAGTTCTGCTCTTTCAGAGTCCTCTTTGGGATTGAGACGAGTGTTCAGATAGAATGTGTGCAGAGAATATTACAGCTTCAGTTAAAAACAAGGATTTTATTTGAGTTCTGTAATTGATGTTGCAGAATATGAAAGATAAAAAAAGATCAGCAATTGGGAGTATAAATAGTTTTGGTGAGGCAGGAGTATAGGCATGTTTTATGGGAGAGAGGTAAAATCTTTTTTGTAATCCAAGAGTTGTACCTGTGAGTACTTCTACCTTGAGCAAACTAAACTGGCTTTAAAAAAAAAATTGTCTAATTATGGGGATTCCTTTATGGGATTGCTGAAATGGTGATATTTTTCCATTATTAAGAGGTACCTGTTAGATGGCATTCATGGCATCTTAGAGAAGCAGTGATGGAAATACATCACACCAAAAATCTCATACCTGAAATCTGGGAAAAGGGGAAAGCATCAATGTACAGGAAAAAAATTAGCCTAGCCAGCATGTACTGGGTATGTCTTGTTTTTGTCAACTCACAATTCCACTGTAGGCCACTGTGAGGCATGACCCAATAATTCTAATTGTGGTGAAGGGACAGAAGATCTCTGAAATCCTGTATGTCAACATTCAAAGTTCACATTTTTCATTAAAAAGGTTACATATGAAATTATTACTTTCAGGCAAAGGAAGTTAAATCTTTGTGTTATGAAGGGCAACTGCTGTATAGAAACAGAAGACTGGATCAACTGAATCATCAGGTTCACTTGCCTGTCATCACAGGATCAAACAGTAGATGTATAGTCCATAAGGGTTCATTCATTATTGTTTTCTGATGTTTTAAAATGAGAAGTGGAAGCCGACTGCTAGATTTGTGTTATTTAATAAAACTAGAATATCTACATTACTTTAAAATGGATCAAATAACTCACATTTGTATTTACTTTATATTCAACTTTACAAGTAATTTGTCCATTTATTTTCTTTCACGGAGTACTTAAAACATTTTTTTTCATGTGAAACTAGTCTATAATTCTGGTCACCAGTAGATGTCATTGTTGAGTTCATGCTTAGAAGCATATTCCATAGCTATTTATTGAATATTAACCAAAACTCTTAAGCATAAGACTTTTAATATAAGTATACTAAACAATGGCTAGAACATAGGAAAGAAGAAAATTCCTCAAGATTTTTACCAATTTTCTTAATTTTCTGAGATATCTGCATTTAATAAGCTCTGTAAGCTAGGCCTTCCTAAGAAAGACTAGGTAAGAATAGGAAAGGTCTCGGAGTGTGAAATGATAATATTTGGGACTGTTCTCTTTCTGTCTTCTTAAAAATTGAAAACCAGGATTAGTGTTTTAGCTATTACATTCAAGAAAACAGATAGAATACAATTTATGAAAAATGATAGATTTTGTCTGAAATATTATTTTAGGTGCAGTTAATGCTATGACTGAGATCGTGACATTGTGTATTTCTTTATGAAAACTGGTAGTAGAGTAAATGTCTTCCCCCCACCCACCCCAAGGGTTCTTATATTGAACAACCTCAGACGATTCATTAACATTCAGTTAAAAAAAAAAAAAATCCTGAAAAGCCTAGACATTAAATGGTATCCTGTGTATATTAACCAGAAGAAATACAGCAAATTAGTAGTATTCATTATGGACTTTAAAAAAACCCCCAAAAATCTAAGAATGTAAGAAAAAGATTTTTAAAACTGATATCATGGAGTATTAGAAAATGAAAATTAGTGTCACATGTTTCCATATGAATAATAGATAATGTGAAGTATGACCTCTCTTTTATAGAAGCATTGTAACTATAATTTACAGTGTTTTCCTATTAGGCTTGCTTTGTTTTGAGCAGAATCTTATATTTTGTACCATCTCATAGAAATGAAGTTTCCCAGATGAAACATTCCCTACATATAAAGGGGAATATTGCTTCTTTGTGAGTTCAAGGGCTATTACTGTAGTGGTTATTAACCATCAATTTAAAAGAAACAACTACAGTCAAAAGTATGGAACTGTACATAGAAAACCTCCATATTATGTTGCTTGAGTGAATACTTGCTTTAGTTAACATCTTAATTAAATTTTCATAATACTGTTTCTTCGTCTATCTCCCAATTTCCAGTTTGGCTAATGTGAAAATAGGTGACAAATGTTAGGAGCATCCTATGGTTGTGTTCTTGTTTATTTAAAACAAATTTCCAAAATCCTGTTTCCTGAAGCACAGCAGGAACAAAAATGATCAGAAACCCCGCTGGTCTGTGCCACCGGTCTGTGCCTCAGAAGTTGTCTCTGTTATCTTACAGGGTCATGCTTACAGAAGGTTCTATTTTTCTGCTTCCAACACACATTGACTGTAACTCAGTGTTCTAACTGCTGCATCTATAAGATTTAAAAGCCTCTTGGTGCCTATCTCAGCTTTATTTTATTATGTCGTTAGAGTCACGGCCACAATATCTGTTACCAAAGTGACAGTTGCTGTTGCGTATGGGACATTGTGCTTTAAAAATCTGTTATTTTTAATTGCCTAGGCTGTACTGATGGCAGCATTGCACTATTTCAATAATATGGCAGATTTCTTTGTTAAAGTGTTGGAGAGGCGGAGAGGATAATTTGCTTATATTTGAATGTATGTATGTTAAGCCATCACCATATTCCTGTCTGAAATGATCTGTCTCCACATTGTTCCTGCTCGTGTTTTGGCCATCTGTGAGAGACTACTTTCAGAGAATTTGTAGGCTGTATCTTTTTTTCTTAATTTGCCAGTGGAACATGCATTCCTTTTCTGGGTGAATTAATGTTTTCTAAAGTTCTTCCTAGCTCTACTTCCACATCTGATTTCAGATGCTGGAGTGAAGCCAGCTGAAGTTCTGTTGTCCAAAAGCCTCTTTAAGTATTCCTTTGTTGATACATCCTTATCTCACCTGGAAGAAACTTTGAAATACTATCAGGCTGTGATGGAAACAAATCTGAAAATGTGACTGGATTTTTATTGGTCTGTAGTAGGTTGCCTTATTTTATTCCCTGTTAGATGTATTCCACAAATGAAGAGGCATACAGTCCTCTTCCAAATCTACAAGAAGCTGTAGAGCTAAAATTTCCTGGTGGTTCTCAGTGTTGGAGTAGGTCTAAACTGTTGGGTATTTTACCCTTAATGTGAAGCTCGTGTATGTTAACAATTCTGTGGTTATAAAATCTAGTGGAAGGATTTCTCGTTCACTGCAAGAGAGTTGTTTAAACTGATCTGTACGTTTAGAAAAGCTATTCATAGACTTAAATTGATGGGTCCCTTTCAAAATTAATACAATAAATTAAGTCAATCCATAATACATTTGTTGTTTCAAGTTCCAGATTTGTTGCTCAAATTCTAGATTCTAGTCTGAAAACCCTGTTTCCTCCTCTCCCTCCTGTAATGGTTTCCTCCTTCCATGGAAGCTACTTCCAGCTGAGACTGATCAGATGATTCATTTTTTGATCTTGCAGTTTTAATGAGGTTTAACTAATTATATTTAAGTGAAGTGTTGGGCTACATTCTGTCCTGCTCACTACATCTCCATGTCTAGAACAGTTTGTCTTATGGCTAGGTTTCCCCCAACATCAAGATCAACCCAATTTTTTTAATTAAAACAGGTATGTTTTTTGAGTGTAACTTCAGATTATTATATTTTCCAGTGTTTTTTTTGGGGGGTGGCGTGGTAAAATGTTAGTGTGCAATCCGTATCCTTCCTAGCAACTGCTTTCTTTTCTTCTGCAAGAATTTATTAATGTCAAATAAATCCTGCAACTTCATGGAATGTGCTTGTCACCTTAGTTCTTAAAATGTTTTCCGTAACATGTAAGAGTTTATCCTGCCAGGCAGTGGACAGTTTTAGTTGACTGACTTTATGAAAAACAAGGCTCTTTGGCAGACATTCTTTATTAGCTTTCCCTAATTTTTCCCTC